AATATTCCAATTTTCAAGTACTCCATATATCGATCTAAATAAATAGCATATACAAAAAAAAATGGAGGAAAATAAAGGAATGCGAGGGAAAATAAAATATACGAAAATAATAAATACATATTGGGAGCAGTATAATTAAATGTTAGAGATAAAGATGTTGTTGGAATATTTAAAAAAATTTACTCTTTAAATTTATAGACGCTCTCTAAATTAAAATATATGTTATTTAAAAATAGAAAATCCATTGAAAATACTCTTACTATTTAAGATCAACTAAAAAATCGCTCAAATAACATCTTGTTAGAACAAGATAATATTTCGATCCATTTATAAAGTTTGCAGCGAATATTTCCGAACTTGTAATTTCATGATCATGTAATATATATCTTTAACAAGTCAAACCATATATAAAAATAGTTGAAATTTTCATTTTTTTTATACAGTGAATTTACGAAAGACATAAATGTCCTCGCAATTCTACCAGATGAATGCTTGCCAGACTAAGTTTTTAAGCTCTCATTTGGTTAAGTTCTCGATGAATGTATAGTCCATGTGACAACTTATTAAAGGTTATTTTCGCCAAGCCTTCATACTAATTAAACTACAATTTAAAAATTGAAAATATAACAAAAAACCATAGTAGAAAAGGATAAAAGATAAAACAAAGTCAAGCTGTCTTCTTTGTCAACCACCGCCTCCCAACAAAATCTTACACTATAGTCGAAGAAAAGTTATTAACATTTATGAATTGAGGAAGAATTGCAAGATCCCTCGAGGGTAGGAAGTGGATGCTCTAAGGGGGTTAAGAATGAGGTGGCATAGGCAATAAAAGTTCCATTCAATAGTAGAGTGTGCTTTTGTATTTTCATATCTCTTTTGGTGAAACATGAAAATAAGGGTGAAAATTCAAAAATAAAATAAAATAATAATAATAATAATAATAATAGGAAAAAAATGAAAGACAACGACGTTTTGCACAATAATATTGAAAAGATATGAACGTTTTGTGCTAATTACCCTTTTATAATTTATTTGGACTCATGTGCAAATTTTTAAAAAGTTTGGGAGTATAATTGCAATTTGTTCTTTATTTTATTTTTTTTTGTTTTATTTAAAAAGGAGGGTATATTTGTTGTTTCTGATTTCTTTCGTTGAGAAATTAGATGAAAATGACCATTTCTGTAATGACAGGTGAAAATAGTGCTGAAAATGTCAAAAAATGAAAGTTAAGGATGTTTTGCACAATAATATTGAAAGGTAAATACGTTTTATGCTAATTACCCTTCTTGTTTTATTTAAATAGAATGGTATATTCGTCATTTTGCAAATTTTAATTAAAAAATGGATGAAAATGACGACTTCCGTAATGAAGTGTGGAGATAGGGATGAAAATTCCCAAAAAAAAAAAAAAAGGATAAGGACGTTTTGCACAATAATATTGAAAGGTAAAAAAGTTTTGTGCTAATTACACTTTTAATAATTTATTTGGACTCATTTTTGCAATTTTTAAAAAAGTTTGGGAGTATAATTGCACTTTATTTTTTTATTTTTCTTTTTTCCTTTTGTTTTATTTAAATAAGAGGGTATATTTGTCATTTTACTTTTTTAAATTGAGAAATTAGATGAAAATGACATTTTTTCTGCAAAGAAATGTGAAAATATGGATGAAAAAAAAAAAAAAAAATTTACACAATAACATTGAAATGTAAATGAGTTTTATGCTAATTACCCATAAAATTACTTGATTTGAAATGACGAATTGCAAAAAACATGCACATTGGAGAAATGATCATTTGGAAATGGGGACATTACATAGCGCGTACACAAAAATCCCCTATTGGAATGGGATACTTGGGTTGCAAGCGAGTATTTGACGGAATGTTGGATAAGTTGACTTCAATTTGTCCTTGTGTGTAACAAAAATTATAATTTGGGGACTTGACAAGAAAAAAAATGAATGGAGCAAGTGCTAGAGGTTGCAGACTAGAAGTTCAAATTTCTCGAGATAAGTTAAAGTCTTACTTTGTAAACCCCAATTTTACGTTAAGAGTGTGTTTGAGAGACATTTTTATGTAAAAATGTATTTTTAAATAGTAAATTGATGCAAAATATGTGGTTGAAAAATAAAGAAATATTTTTTATTTACGTGTAATATTATTTTAACAAAGAATGTGTGGTTGAAAAGAAGAAAAAGAAAAATGCATTTTGAAAAAAATGAATACCAAACGTGGCATAATTTGCTAATTTTATAATATATGTTCTTCAAAGTAGCACTTTTAGTGAGAAATTTTCATTTTTTAAAGAATAAGTTAAAAGACTCTAAAAAGGTAAATTTTGCAAGTAAAAAAGGTAACTTTAAAAATTATAGTAGAACATATTTTATTACTTAAGATCAACTAAAACCTCGTTTAGAAATTACGAACAATGCAATATTAGTGTTTTATTTCTAAATTTAAATTCCAAAATTTTCAAACACACCCTTGTAATTTCAAAATCTTGTAATATACTTCTTTAACAAATCAAACCACTTTAAATAGTGTACTTTTCATTTAAATAAAGTCAATTAATGCAAGGCATAAACATCGTCACAACTCTATCAGCTAAGCGTTTTTATTATTTGTCAACCTTCATAAGTGTCATTAGAGTAGTATAAATGTAAATAAGAGCTAAAATTTTGGCTAGAAAATAGTAGGTAATTAACATGCATCGAAATTTATTAGATATAGCACTATACTGAAAGGCTAGGTTAACTTTTTAATGGTCCCCTTACAAATAACAAGTCAATTTTGTTACATGTATAGTTTGGTGATAGCTTTATTATTATTATTTTTTTGATATCCAGGTATCTATCTTACAGTAACTAAATCCTGAAATCTACACTTTGGCCCCTCAAGCTGCAGACAAGTTAAACCGCAGGTTGTGTCCCAAACTGACCAGTGCTCAAGAGCCCCTCCCAACTGATTTGCCAAAGTACCAAGCAAGTCGTTTTTCCCATCTTTGCACCTTGCATTCCAGGATAAATCCTGTCTTCCAGGAGAATATCTGCCTTCCAAGAGCCTTCTAGGAATCGAACTCATGACATCTGATCTGCCAGCATTGAAGCGCCCTCATCTTTGTCAGTTGGGATGTGCCCTGGAGAGCTTGGTGATAGCTTTATTTTTTTTTTTAAATTTTTTTTTAACGAGGTGTCCCAGTTTGCGCCAGACTATATCCTAGTCCCTGAACCTCCAGCCCCTCAGCTGCTCAGGGAGGTAAATCGTAGGATGTGCCTTTGTTGGTTCCCAGGTTCTCACATGGCTTTTACTCCTTCCCCAAAGGGAGCCTCCTCCATGGTGATTAATCCACCAATAATTCCTCCTTTATTGGATCAAAGGTTCTCACCAGGAATCGAACTCCCCATACTTGGTTTCAGAGCCCCCCAATGTGATTGTTCCACCAACTTGGATGTGCCCTGGGGGGCTTGGTGATAGCTTTATTGACACTGTGTAAGGTGGTCGACATTTTTGCTATTTAATTTTAATAACAATTAAAACAATCAACGACACGAATTTTGACACCTCATTGGATGTCAACAAAATTGTACGTTTTCAATGTACAAATAGAATAATTCTATAACATATTTATGGAATAAAATTGCACTTCAAATGGAGGTATGATTTGGGATTTCTCAAGGAAAAAAGGGAGAATATGATTTAGAACATATTGTCTTGAATAGTTGATGAAGATAATAAAAGAATACATTCAATCAATCTGTAAAAATTATTTTCTAAAGTAACAAAGAATGCCAGTTGTAAAACGACATGAGTCACCCCTCACATCTCTAAGCAACACAATAATATTTGAAATCACTCCAGCATAATACTAAAATCAAAGAGTAACAAAAATCTAATTCATGCACTTGTTTGGTACAACTAAAATTAATTTTTAATAAATTTTAATAAAAGTTAATAAAATATATGATTAAAAAGGTAATGAAATATATGAAATTTTAATTTTTAACTTTAACTTATTTTTTATTTTTTTATTTTTATCAAGATTAAGATTCATAATATAGATAGAAATAACTTCTTTTGACCCTTTTTTCGGTGGAAGAAAAAGTCATACCATCGAACATAACTTTTTACTTCTTTTTAAAATGATAGAATTCTTGCTATTGACTAGTGTGTAAATATTGAATCGTCCCCGAACTTTCTTAAGTAAAAACGAAACTTATTTTTAATAGTAAAATATTAAATATCAATATTATTAAACTTTTTTTTTATGGCAAACGACAATTAGCGAATGTAAGAATTTATAAATTAAGCCTTAGTTATTTTGATAAAAATTGATGAATTATGCGATTAAAATTCTTTAGACCCATTAAATGTATATTTAAAATTAATTATTAATTCAAATTTCAATTCACGCCAAATAAGAGTTGAAAGTAGATTTAGAACGGGTTCCTACATATTTAATGTCTTTTTTTTTTAAATGTATTTTGAAATAGTAATTTGATGGAGAATTTGTGATTAAAAATAAGAAAATTTTTTGAGTTTGCATATATTATTATTTTATTAAAGAATGTGTTGAAAAGAAGAGAAAGAAAAATGTATTTAAAAAAGAAAAATAGGTCCAAACAAATCCTTAATAATAAGAGGTAGAATTTAGCATCATCCCCAGCCACTTATAAGTTTGAAATTATGCTTTTTAACCTGATAGTATGGGCCAAGAAAATGCAGTTTTATACATATAGCCAATTGCTTCATAGGGATTAAAATTAAAATTTTAACAAATTGTAATAAAAATTGATAGAATGTGCCGTTAAAAATTTGTGGATCCCATAAAATATATTATTAAAATTAATTATGATTTAAATTTTAATAAGATTTTTTAACAAAAAGACATATTTTGTAAGGGTGGGGTTTATATGTTTATCAATTCTTGGAGGTATGTCACATCACACTATCAGCATCACCCCACCCCACAAACCCACCTTACACACTCGGACATTATTATTTTACCCAAACTCCCAGAAAAAAAAGAGCGCACAGCATCTTCCTTCTCTGTCCAACTCCTAATGGGGAAAAAGTATAGTTTAGGGGTTTCGATGAAACTTTGAAAGGACTGTAGAGAAATTGCTTTCTGTGTAAAGTTGATTTCATTTTCTTTATATAATTGAGCACAAACACAGTGTGGAGTTTTTGGAGAGGTGAAGGAAGATGCCAAGGCCAGGTCCCAGACCATATGAGTGTGTGAGAAGAGCTTGGCACAGTCATAGGCACCAACCCATGAGAGGTTTAATTATTAGTCAGATTTTCAGGTACGGGTTTTTATGTTTCTTGAATTTATTTTCTTGTTTTAGGTGAAATTTGTTAAATATTCAGTTTGACTAGGCTTGTGCACGAGAACCACTGCCTAGCAACTAAGAAGAATAAAGAATGGCAGGAGAAGCTTCCTGTTGTGGTGTTGAAAGCTGAGGAAATCATGTACTCCAAAGCTAATTCTGAGGTTTTAATTTTTGTCCCTGTTTTGATGTTGGTTGGGTTTAATTTCTTGAGATTTTTTGCTCAATGTGTTGGTGTTATGATTTTATACGTGTTTCTGTTTTGCTATTCTTCATTGGGTAGGCTGAGTATTCGGATCTTGAAAGTCTATGGGATCGGGTTAACGATGCCATTGATACAATTATAAGGAAAGATGAGAGTACAGAAACGGGGGAGCTTCTTCCTCCTTGTGTTGAAGGTATCAGCATTGCCTACAGTTCTTCCACTTCACCTTTGTTCATTTCAATTAATTGAAATCTTGTTTGGTTCAATTCGGTTTATTCATTCTTAGTTTGTTACTTAAGAGGAATGTTCAGTTTGAGATGATATTGTAATATGCATTTATGATATGGATTCTGGTGTTCAGCTGCACTTAATTTGGGGTGCGTGGCGGTTAGGGCACCTAGAAGCCAAATGCAAAACAATCCAAGAACATACCTCAAACCGCCGGTTCAAGAATCCTGTGATGCATCGCCTAAAGTTTTAGATGATCATACCGGTGAACGGCTATTCAATATATGGCCTTTGCATTCTGCCAATATTTCACCATTGAAGAAATTCTCAACTGCAGAGTCACCCGATTTAGTTTTGCAGTGTGGTGGATGTGTAACACCAAATATTAACAATCCCATTGCTCTTTCATGCGAGAAACTCCCATCTCCCGCCAATAACCAGATCCCGCTAGCTGACTCTAGCACACTATCGAATTTTGGCTCAGTGTATCCCTTGTACTATGGTACCATGTTTCAACCTGAAGTCTCAAGTCCGGTCTTACGAGAACCTCACAAATCCAATCCCATAATTGTTGGTGTGCCAGTATGCTCATCTGTAGCTGAGACTGCTGAAGTTGGGCGCTTGCAGAATATGTTTCCCTGTGATGCAGACAAATATGTAACAAATGGAAGCTCCCAAGCAAATTCTGGGGACAACAATTGGATGGAACCTCAGACGGGGTGTGACTTGTCCTTGAGGTTGGGTTTATCTTCTGAGTCAAGCTTGAACACGGGAAAGCGTTCTGATCATGGAACCAATAATGGTCGGGGAGTTTCTCAAGATGGAGGGAAGCCTAGAGACAAGGAGTTTCCTTTCTTTCCTTCGGAGTCCAGTAACGATCTCTCCAGTTTAAGTTCAAATAAATGGAATTCAGAGGGGGGAGGTCAAAACGTGGAAGATGTTGCTAGAAAGCGTAAAATTTCGCTTATTGCCAATGAGCAAAGTTTCTTGTCTCGGGACCCAAATTCTAACTGTTTTGCTGGTCAAATGAAAAGACCAGGTATGTAGACACTGCTACTTTGTTGTATGACATAATATTTCATTTTGAAAAAATGGGGAAATTTTTTTCAGATGGCTCTATTGATGTTATGGAAATTTTATTTTTTATTTTTTATTATTATTATTTTTTTTTGGCGTCTGTTTATTTGGAAGCATATTATGTTGTTGTGACTGAACTTGTGATTACCAAAAGTCCATGGATAACTATATTTAACTAGGTTTTTGAAGATAGGATAACGATACGAAATAGAAGGTGCGAGATGCTATGATTAAAATTGTGTTTATTACAAGATCTTGTTCTTCGTTGTGTTCTTTTTGAGCAATGTATAGAATGGTAATAATTGATAGTGTAAAACGGAGAACAGCGATTATCCCACAAGGACTGTTTTGGGATGTACATGCCAATTGATGTAACAAGATGTTGGATATTCTTATGGTTGAATCCTTCATTTTGCGGGCATAACTGTAATTACTTGAGAAAATAATGTGCCAAATTATGCCCTTGTTTAGGCTCCATTTTAATGAGATTTTGGGAAAATGAATTTTGGAATAGCAATTTTTTTGGAGAATGTGGTTTTAAAAAAGGAAAAAATTTGGGTTTATATGTAATATTATTTTATTAAAAAAGTGTGGTTGAAAAGAAAAAGAAAAAAATGTATTAAAATTAAAATGGACAGGGGCTGATTAATGAGAACGCGAGTCTAAGAATTGTTTGGTGCACAATTACTGCAATGAGCAAATAAAAGTGCATCACTTGTTTCTAGATAGTCAGTTGTCTTAAAAGTACCTGTTTTGGAATGTAGGTAAGACAGTGAAAGAAATAGCCAAATAAATATTTGGGTATCTGCATTTATATGTTTCCTTTGCATATTGTGATTGATTGAGGTTGAATATCTTTTCTAGATAAGCATCAAACTCATTTCTGGCGATACTATTTCGAAGTGATACTTATCCTCCTCTTGTTGCCCTTTCCATGAATATTCAACTGTTAACTGTTTGTGTGGCCAAAATAGTGCACGAAATGTTCCTACCTTGTCATGACCATTCTGAATCTCTGATATCTTATTCTTAATGACCATATGGGTTTTATATCAAAATTAATGTGCAATTTTCCTCAACAACTGGATAAGATTTTTATTCGGTTAACACACTAAGTAGCTGTAGTCTTAATTCACTTTTTTAACAAGTATCCATGTAGCTTACAACACTGAATAGTGCATACCATACTCTGATAAATCAATTTACTGCTGGAATGGAAAGTAAAACTTCAATTCCAGGATGGCTTACAACCATATCCTGGAATGGAGGTAAAACTTGTCAATGTTTCCAATATTGATATTTATTGCTGACATGATAAATTTGATGGCTGTCTGACCATTGCGGGAACCTATTCTGGACCATGTTGCATACTCCAGAAATATTTTGTTTTTTCTTTTCATAATAAATGGCCTCTACATCTGGACTCTAATAATTTCTGTTAGTTATCATTTTTCTACAAGTGAAACTTTTCTGATTATTGAATTTTGAGTTTTATGTAGATGATGAGTGCATGCTGATGGACTGTGTGAATCCATAATGATGTGCATTTTCCGACGAGCTGAAATTTCATGTCTGAAAACCTACAATTTCCGTATTGCAGTATTGAAAAGGATAAACAAGTACAAATACCTGTTGACATTAGAGAAACTTTTGTTGGTGCCTGTTTGGCATGGCTTTTGAGATTACGAAGGTGCTTTTGAGCATGTTTGAATAATTTTCTTGAAGTTCTTTGATAGAAGAACTTTTAGAGGAAACTAGTCCAAGGTGACTTCCTTTTGAAGCCCTTCTACGAAAAGCATAATCTGTCCCAAACAAGCCCTTAGAATCCATGGACTTTTGCAGCTGGTCATATCATCCAGATCTTGCAATCTTATACCTAATCTTTAATGTTAACTAACAAATAGGGTAGAAACTTGTACTGTTATAACTAGGGAGAAGGGTACCAGTATCTTCTGAATAAAAACATTTCCATTAGCTGTTAATCACATATTCCCCTATAAACTAGTTGCAGCATTTTACGAACTTCTTCCCTTTATCTTCTTAGTTTACTTTTGTTGGTTAATGACATTGTTTTTTTGGGTAATCCAGTGTTTATTGAGCCTTGACGTAGAAATGTTCTCCCTCTGCTCAACGGTTATAGATTGCATGTTTATGGTGGACCTCATATGGATTTTTCTCCCAAATTCCCCTCTCATTCACAATGCTTGTATATTGCAATCTATTTATGCAACTAACTTATAAATATACAGTAGAACTTCAGCTTCTAGGAAATCAAAGGAAGAAGAATCTACTAACTTTTCGGCATCTCAGCTACCAAGACGGCCCTGCATCATAAAGGTATCTATCCAATCTTAGAAGGGTTTCCACCTTATGTTTTTGTGTGTGTCATTTTCTTCTCTTTCCATTTGCCTCGTGCAATGTGTTTATTTAGCCTTTGTTTGGTGCTCATTATTTTAAAACACTTCTTGCTACATGATCATTTTTCATCACACATTCACACAATAAAATATGCTGCATGTAATCCATAAACTTTTTAATCACACATTCTCCTAAAATTACTACTCAAAACTGTTTTTTATTTTTATTTTTTTCAAATAATGGGCACCAAATAGGGGCTTAGATCTATTTTGATTAAGTTTATTACATGTCATTGAGCTCAAAAAATCGAACATTGTAATATGATAGGATTGACAGAATTTATTTTTGCAACTCAACAAAGAGAAGGGAAGAGGACGGTGAGAATCGTCATTAAGGCTCTGGTTTTAAGAGTCGGAGCTGATGCTCCGGTGCTTATAGTCACTGTCTGTCCCATGCTGCAGTGGTTGGTGATGATGCAAATGACGTACAACTCGGTGGCATTGACAATGAAGCTTGAGGGGCTGGTTGTTAGGACTGGACTAAGAGCATTTGTTGAACTGCAGGCATCATAGTTTTGTTTGGTCACTTGGACCACATTATGCGTGCCATTCCAGAGGAAAAATGATTAGCAAGGAAAATTTTGAAAAATATCTGCCTTTATATAAGCACTAACAAATTAGAAGAACGAAATGGATCAACATGTAGGTAGAGAGCTTGAAACCATTATGTATTTGGTTGAAGATTTTCACCATTTTGTTGGTTATTTAATTCTTTTTTCTTCGTCAATTGTGGGTTTAAAAGACTAGTAATAATTGGGCTTTTAGCAAAATTTCAAATTTAACTAAGGTTCAATTTTATTTATTTTTCACTAAACTTAGCACTTATTGTCATGTTGGCTATTGAACTTTAATTGGTTTCAAACTCTATCACTGAACTTTGCAAAATGTTTCATTTAGACCAAGATTCCGTTAACATTTTTTTCCCTGGCAAATCCTGGTGTCATGGTGTCAATGTTCCAAGTCATAAAATTGTTGGGATTTAAGTTAAATCTTACGATTTGGTACATGGACGTGGAGAATTTGTAATTAAAAAATGGATGTCAAAGTGCCATTTCAATGGAACATTTTGTAAAGTTTAGAAATTTGTCTAAAACAAATTAAAGATCAATATTCAGGATAACATTAAGTACAAAATTAAATGAGTATTAGTGAAATTAACTCTAAAAAGCTTACAAGTGATCACATCGCCTTTTCCATAGACATGGGACTAACTCTACGACTTATTTAAAACAAAATAAAGTATTGTGACCCATTAATCATCTCATTTTGTCTAGGGAATTTTCCTTTTGTCTATTCTCTTATTTACGAGTGAGAGAAGATTACTTATAGTATCTCCGATCTCAAAATCTTTCCTAACTGCCCATGTTCTATAAGCAATATTGCCAAGTGGAGGAATTTTCCAGCAGTGGTTGTCGCTCACCGTGTACGGCACGGCAGTCGCCGCCACAGTTAGAGTGGCCCCAACCAATTCAAATTTGTATGCCATTTTCTAAGGAGTGAACCTCAACATTTGAGGGCCCCCACCGCCATGCCCCCTGAAGTATCGTGAGGGAAGTAAATCGCGGGATATATCCCAACATGTCAGGAAATAAGAGCTTGCTCGTACATTGATACCCACAAAGAGTCTAATTCCATATCTCAAGAATTGAACCCTCACACTGCAGCTGTCAGCGAAGCAGAGATTACCTTACTCCTATTCTTTGCATCACTAGATTATGCCCTGGGGGGCTTGTTTGCCATTTTCTACTTTTGTGTGTGTGTTCTTTCTGCAGGTTAGAAACCTTTTTTCCACAATAAATATAAATAGGTGAATATAGAAGGAAATTATCTGTTCCCATATATGCGTGGAAATTTTCCACGAGTGTTCATAATATTCAAAAATGGTGTCTGGACCCAATTTTTGGAAATTCTAGAATTTTGACCCCTATTGGTTTATCTTAGTCCATTTTCCAATCTTCCCAAACGCGATTATGGGCTAGAAAGTTTCACCAAAAAATGATGCAACTGTAAATGGCGTTGGAATTTACTACACTCTAGTGTATAGTCCTCTCATATGAGAGGAGGCCCACAAATTTTTTAATCACTGCGGGTCAGGGGACAAGTATCTTTACCCAAGAGCGTTTAACATTAGTCCATTGTCCAATCCTAGAAATGCGATTATGGGCTTGGGTTAGAAAGTATATGATTATGAATATCTTTAATTTTAGTATATGATTTAAACTTTTTCATTCATAATAGTGTTTAGTTAAAAATCGTATAAATTACTGTTTTGGGATTAATAGTCAAATTAAGATCTCGTTTGACTGTGAACTATTACTTGTAAATAACTCATTTGTTGCATGAGCCTTCCATAATCCAAATCGAATTCAAATTGCTTGTGAGCATGCATATGTCAAAACCAAGTGCTCTTTACTTCTTTTATACCATCTTTTAATATATAAGACAATTTTCAACAGAGTAAACCAATATCAGTATACATATTTTCATAAATTATACCCATCATGAAATTTGAAGAATATTCATTTTATTGAAAAAGTTAGTCTAAGAAGACTATAAAATCCGTTTGATATGAGTTTTGAAAAGTTAAAAAAATTATTTTGAAACTAGAAAAGTTGATTTTTAACATGTTTGGGACAATGTTTTGGGAAATGCTACATTACACCCCTCTGTTTTTCGGGGCATAACCCAATGGTGTAAAGGATAGGAGTGAGAGTCTTAGCCTTACTGACAGCTGCAGTGTAATCGTGTGAGGGTTCGATTCCTGAAATATGTAATTGGATTCTTTGTGAGTATTAGTGTACAGGCAAGCTCTTATTCCCTGGCCCGCTGGGACACATCCTACAATTTACCTCCCTCACGATGCTCCAGAGGTAGGGCCGTGAGGGCCCTCAAGATTGGGGTTCAACATTTATTTATTTATTTATTATTATTATTATTATTATTATTATTATTATTATTATTATTATTATTATTATTATTACCCCTCTCACATAGAGGGGGTTCATGAATATTTTATTGTGTGTGGGTCATCTTCCATGTGACGGGGTGTAATGTTATGTGTATAATACAATATCATTTTCCGTTTTTAAAGTGCTTTAATCTGTTAGAATTGTTTTTAGAGTAACATTCTAAAAAAAAATAATAATAGATAAATAATTCTATAAGAAGCAGAAACTTACCAAATGGACCCTACATCTACGAGTATTAAAACATGCTCCAAGTCTGGTCAATCGATAACTAGTCGAGCGTTAAAACAACCACAAGCCAATACAGCTAGTTTAAATAAATTAACAATTAAATTAATATTAGAACAATTTAAATTTTATGTAAATAGTTTTATGTCTTGTACAATCTTCTCAAGTGCATCAATGGATAGGTGAGGTCATTATGGCATAGGTCTTCCGTCTTTAGGAAGATTTTATTTTTTGGATAGCAAAATAATTAACATGAAACCAAATAATTAGTTTATTAATGGATTTATTAAGTATCTGATTAATTATATTTTAATAAATGGAAATTTTCAAATTTCATAGACGTCAATATACTTGTCCGTAAGAAATATACAAGGGGGTGTTTGAGCCATATTATTTTGGTAATAATACATTCTTGAATAGTGTATTGATGGGAAATGTGTGGTTAAAAAATAAAGAAAGTTTTTTGATTTACGTGTAATATTATTTTAATGAAGAATGTGTGGTTGGAATGATGTCAAATCACTGTTTAAGAATGCATTTTTTTGAAATAATGTGGCTCAAACAGTTCCTTAATCGAGCCAAAGTTCCACTTTGGTATTACTATTTAACAAAATATAGTAACAAAAACAATGTACCTTTCCATGGAGGAGAGAAGCAACAGTAAGGTACCATGCTGTGTAAGTTGTCATGACAAGACCAAGAAATGACCAAATTCTAAAGTTATGGAACGACGGGATGAAGACTGTAGTGACACAACAAGCTCCAAATATATATGTCCAAGTTCTCTTATCAAGGTTGTTATTTATATAATAGATGTTAGTCCAGAGCCGGTCCTATGTTTGATGGGCCCTGAGGCAAACGATGAAAATTAGGCCCCCCAACGACAAAATTCAAATGTGTATTAAGAATGTTGTTTTGTTGTTAATAATAATAATAATAATGTCTTTAATCTGTTTTCGACGTTTAAGAAATACTGAAAAGTAAGTCGATTCGTTACACACACTAGTCTACAAAAGACACTATTTTGCATAGTTTTACATAAATTAAAAATATCTTTAAGTTTAAATTCAACTTAGGCTACAATATTTTATGTTAAAGGACACGCCAGGATTAAAGCCATGAAGACCTTTAAGACTTCTTCTTCTTCTATTATTTTTATCAAGTGGATTTGTTCTTACTTTTTGTTTTATTGATCGAAGTGACACTATTGAATATTGATAAGTATGTTTCACAAGCATATTTGAACCTTTACATTTAATTGAGTGCATATCTACCTCATTTTACTTTATTTATATTTGTTATAGATAAAATCTCGATTTTGATACAACTAGCACAAAGAAAGATAATTTTAAGATAATTTTAAGTTTAATTGGAGTTGATTCAGAGTAATTGAAGATTAACTGAAATAGCAATCGAAAGAAACTCACAAGTTTCGAGAATTAAATACACCATCTGGAGAGTTCGAGAACATAATTGCAAACTTTCGAAACTTGAAACAGATCAATTACGAATGATTGTAGAGGATGAATATCAAATTATAAAGATTTAAAGATGAAGGACCCAAAATGCTAATAAGAAGAATCTCGAGCTGAACAATAAGAGAAATCTTGTGGCTAAGTTGGAGAAGGATAAAAGTGGATCAACTTTTCGATAGCAACCTGGGAGTTAAACACTTCAACCATTCGATGCAGTGACAGCTGGATTTGCCAGATAGAATTTTTTTATTTTATTTTTTTATAATAGATAAAAATTTTAGGTCATATAACTAGTAGTTCATTTTACTTGCAAACACCTTTTTTGTTTAGTTGGTTAGAGCTTGCATTTTTATATTACAAGTCTTGGGTTCGATTCCTTCCTGTCCATTTTATTGTGCAAAATTTTTATTTCTACAATATTTACTAAAATTAATTCCCTAAGAAAAGGATTCAAACCGATAACTTCTAATTTAGATGATTGGAAGTTTAACTATCATGACAATACTTGAATTTTGAATCTAATTTAACGAAATAATATATGTTAAGGCTCTAGGCAAATCAATGACTATTTTTTTTGTTGGTTTTTGTCGTTTCAAATACTTTATGCTTTAATAATTTATAAGATTTGACTTATGAGTATTGAGTTTTAATTTACATGTTATTTGAAAATTTGTCTATTATGAATTGTTATATTAAAAATTAATTTAAGTATCGTGAAATGTGAATATGTGATTTATGAAAATTGAAAATGAGAAATTGGGGAATTTATAATTTGTGATGAATTGGTGTTGAGAATTGGAAATTGTAACTTTAATTGTATTTTAAAATTAATTTTAATTACATTTAATCTTTGATTAACGTTCAATCATCATACTAATTATGGAATGATTTTTTCAACTGAATCAAAATCTAGTTCTTGTAGTGGTGTATCTAATCTCTCAACTACTTTTAGTCAATCAAACGATTTGTTAAACATTGATAACACAGAGAAGTTTTATGTATTATGTAATTTATATTATTTCGGATTGTGTTGAAATATAATATGATATAAATATATG